TCTCAGCCTTGCGTTAATCCTCTTAAAGCTACCTCAAGCCAAGGGAAGCTTATTCTGACCACCTTTTGTTCCTTATTGAGCAAAGATCTTCAGTACTATTTCAGATTCTACAATTCAACCATGTTTTCTTTCATCCATTTCTTGTCTTATGCCAGTGAGATATTCTGCAACGTTTAAATTTAAATATGAATCCTGACAATATCAACTCCCTTTTCGGAGTTGAAAAAGATGTAGGATGGTAGTACTAAATAAAGTACAATAAATATAAACAGTCTAAGAATATATTATATATAAAATATATAAACAGAGTATATTCTATAAATAGTTCCGAAAATTCCAAATTTCTTCTCGAATTTCACACCCTTTTACTTTTTAAGAGAAATTCTAGATATTGCAGCATTTCAAGGTCTCAATCACGCAATCCCCCAAAAGATGGCATTATTTAAAAGTTCAATTATAAAAAAAATCAAGAACAACAATCTTTATTTCAGGCTTAATTGATTCATTCAAGCTTTTGAACAACTGAGCCTTCCTCCTATAATAGCCATTTTTGGTTTTCTACAACTTATTAAAATTGATACAGGTGGTTTGGGGAAAAAAAGGAAAACTTTTTATTTGTTTATTTTAATAGAATTATTGTCTTTTTCGATTCGTCCACTTGTGTTGCGTATGTATTTATTTTTATTAGTTACCCACTTTGGCAACAAATTTCAACTTAAAGTTCCTATATTTTTAACGGCTTGATTTTTTAACTCCTTCAAACAGTATTATTCCAAATGACATTTTCTTAAGTTTCTGAAGTCAGTTGTATTTTTCTTTGTCTCACTAAAACGCGGTGTTGGTCGTACTCTGAGGGGGTTATGTCATGTGTGGATCTCAAAGATCTTAAAAAAAATAATTTATGATCTTTTAACATAACTCAGAAACAGGGACAAACAACTAACTAACATATTGCGATTTATAACTGACGATGGCTTGACGTTGATAGAAGGGATATCAATCACCATGAGGGACGAAAGCAGGACCTGCCTCTTGAAGGGTGCGGTTTTTGTTAGATGGAGGCCGCTGAGACTAAGAAAAAGGTCATTAACTTGTCATTAAGGGCCGGTAGGGATCATTAGCCGCAATTATATTCCTTTCCGATGAAGATGAGAAACTCTTATCGCGGTTGAGAAAGGTAAGGCACCAACTTCGTCATTAGGCGTAGCTAATTAGCGACAATTCTATGAACTCACAACTCAAAGGGCGGATTTTATTTCTCACATGAAAATCCATTATTAGTGATACATTGTTGACCTTAAATAAGTTAGTTGAAGTTGCGTTCAAAAATGAAAATACGCACTAGATAACCTCTAATCCCTGGATTGTCAACTTTTCGTCTAAAGTTTTAAGCCTTCACCAGGTCTCTTCGCTAAAAATACCTTTGCTATGGGATGTGGAGTCGTAAGTAAATAGGATTGAAGTTGAAGTAAATTCCTTTTTTTAGTATATTCAGTGTGGTCCATAATAACTTTTGTTTGTTTTAGTATTAATAACGTCATGAGATTATTATGAAGGATCTGTCGTAGATAAATGAGTAATTCTGTCAAGAATTATATTACACTGTTATATTTTCTGTTAAGAACCATCCTTTAATAAAGTTCTGAACATTCATTACGATCTTATGAAGTCAGCTATGAACAACCTGAAAATATTTAGTCTATAGAAACAATAACATTCAAAATAAATATATAAATAATGAATCTAAATTATATTTCTAATTTTGTTGTAAAATCCTCAAGATAATAACATTTGGTGTTAGTTATCCATATATTTCTTCGGTTCCATTTGGATTGAAAAAAGCATGTATCAGCAACATGATTAAAAATCAACAAAAAAATTACTTCGTTCATTTCTATTCTAGTTTAAAACTTTTATTATAACATAATTATAATCGAGCGGAAATTTAACACTATTTTAATATTGATCTTCTTGATTAAATCTGAAAACTTAATAATAAATATTTAGTTCAAATTTTCTAATATAATCTTTAATTTTGTATCGACAATGAAAGAAAAAAAAACTTTGAGAACGTTTTAGAAACGTCTTTTAAAAACATTCCTTAGACCGTGTTTCTCTTCTATACTGTTGCTTAAATGCACATCGGGCTTCTCTATATTTTGAATAAGAAATATGGAGGCTTCTAAACTTAGCCGTCTCGGATCTTAAAAACCACATTTTATCACTGGTGGCACAGAAACTTTCCCGCGATTATAATAAGTTTTAAGAGCATGATCAACTATAAAAATTCTCGGTAAACGAAAATACATTGTAGTATCAACGGTCTAATGAACTGTTACAATTCATGTAAGTCCTTAGGTCTAATCCGTAACTAGATTTATGTATTATAAAAACAAATATTTAACGGACCGAATGGCTGGAAACGATTCTATTTATTAATTCATAACTTTAATTCATAAAGTGGTATAAGTAAGTTTTGAATTTTGCTTATTGTTGAAAGGAAAGACACTAATGGGTGTCAGCAACACAAACCCAACTCGTTGTCACAAAGACAGGACTTTTAATCAAATTAGTTAGTTCATGCACTGCAGAGCGTGTTGAGCAACATTCAGCTTCCTGGAACTGTTCCCTCAACAATACCTTGTCTCTACCCGTTCCCGTTACTTTATAAATAGTTTATCAACCTTCCTTTATTTAGTGTTTAGAAAAACAAATTATCAAGAAACTAGCTTTAGGAAGGCATCTTTTCATAGACCAAAATCGAATAGTTTGCATTATGAGTTGATCTTGCCTTTTCTATGACCAAACATTTGGACGTGCTTGCTAGGAATAACCACCGAAGAACTAAATGAATTGTAAAGTATTATAAATTAAAGAATCGAAATGCAGTAAACTCGATAACCAAAGAAAGGGGTTGCCCATCACTTCAGGGGCCGTGCGGGCTAACGCGTTTGCTTAACACGCTTAGTCCGCCAACCTAATAAACCAAAGTTTACAAGATAAACAAAATAATTCCAATCCCGATGCTCGGGGGCTTTCAACTCTGACAATAATCCTCCCCTTCTCCCCTGGACCGAGAAAACCCTTATAGTCTAAGAATCGATGGAGGTGTGGATAAAAAAAAGAAGTACTCACTTCTAAAATGTTTTGGAGGACTATATATGTATCTTTATTTAAAACTTTTCATACTTTTAGAATGAAAGGAACCTTCAAATGATGCAGCGATATGACAGTACAGTTGTATATGTAATAATCGAATTTTTAATAAAAAGATGTTTAATGAATTATAACAGGAAAAAAATGATTAAAAAAAATAAAGGATCATGAAGATATAATCTGTTTCAATATCCATCATATACGTAACTTAACCAAATATTTATAAGGTGTCACTTGAATTGAGGAAAATATTCTTGAGATAGTGGTAGAATTGAAGAAGAGCAAAAATGTGCAATAGACTATGATTCGATTTCTTGGAGGTGGACCCAATACACCTTTATTTATAACAAATAAAGTAATATATTGGTATAAATAAAAATTTAATGTTAACATCTGCAAGGATTTCTTATTAAATGCTCCTAAGTATCGCCACATAAATTATTTTCAACTTGTGCTACCATTTGAATTAACTAAGTCATACAATTGAATAACAAAGCAAATTAAAATAAACTGATGAAATATGTATAAATATAAAGAATATTGGTTAACAAGGGAAAATTTGAACCATTTTTGCATAAAAAAAGACCTGCTTTTTCGAGCAACTTGTAAGCCTTTTGGAACTAATGGGTTTCAGTATGTATTTTATCATAAGATGCATACTAAATGTATAAAGACTCTATTTAATCATTACATCATGAGTCACTTTAATAATTGAATAATAACATTATGTTCATTGCTATTTATCACAAATAAAATACCATCATAGTTTTCGTGTCGTCATTTTAAAATAAAATATTTAGAGAGATATTTTACCTTAATCCGGTGATGCTTTCTAGCATCTAATAAAAGAGTGATAACAAAGTTATTTTCATGAAAGTATTGAATGTTTAACTTGATCCGTGCTTGGAAAACGAAACGTAGTAGCCTTTTAATGAAATGACTCTTTGCTTATCGCTTAATTCAATATTGAACAACTCTCGAAGGACGTATTTAAACAGGGCTCCGTTCTAGTACATTTACACTTCCATAACAAATACGGGTCCGCTGCAATAATCCGTTTATTAAATAAATATCCAGGCTAGGTTTCGGAAGGATTTGTTAGCATTGCTCCCATATTATCCATAGTTATTGACTAACAATCGAATCTGTGTTCAATCAATAATTACACTGACACTTAATGATCTGTTGCGTACGAACTTTTGATCCTGTGGAGAATAACAACTATGACATTGATTTTTTGTTATTAGCTTCTGTTTCAAAGATACGTAATAAGCCTGCCAAAAATAGGAGTGCCCATCCTCCTCCCCTCTCTAGTTCGATGGTACACTATCTCCCAAGAAATTCTATAGTATCTTTATTTATTCTATACTACACTATCTTTCAAGAAATTCTATTCATCACCTCTTTTAAAAACAGAACAAATGAAAATAGAATGTGAATAAATCATAACATCCTAAAAATTCTTTAAAATTCAAAGCCTCGTAAAAATGTGCCTCTCTCAAAAAATTTCGTACCGCAGCTTCTGAGCACCCCTTCAAATTCTATAGTCTATTCACATTTTTCCAAGGAAAACGAAAGCAAGGCCTGCCGATTACCAGTACAAAATCCTTTTCAATATTGTCTAAATTAGTGGATTTAATAATATCAGTGAATAGTGAAAAAATAATTTCTGCACTTCGATGAATAATTTTAAACTGCTGCTTGTTTTTGAATTTCAGGACAATTCCGTATCTACAGAATGACAGGTACCTTTATGAAATGAATACGGTATTATCAGGATGAATTGTACTTAACTTTCCGCTAATCATACTTTTATTTAGTATATTGCATATGGTAATTCTTACCTGTGTGGGTCCGCTGGTGGGCCTTAAGGTGGGAACTCTTGGTGTAGACCTTTTCACAGCCTGGGTATTGACATTTGTGTATCTTCCTCCTCGAGTCCGGGGATGTGTCCGTCCTGAGCCGGGGCCCCACCGACAACCGGGAACCGAGCCTCACTACCCGGGCTCCTTTGGCTAGTGACTCGGGAGACGAGGGTGGAGTCAAGGTTGGAAGAGCCTCCCTAGGCAGGCTCACTTCTTCCAGGGGGTAGTCGTCGTCATCGTCCAGAGGTTCCTTTTTGACGACCACCGCGCACGACAGGGAAGACACTGAACCGTTGGAGGAGAGGGATAGGGAGTCGAGCGTCCTCTCGTCCACTTCCACCTTCCAAGAAGGTGAGGGTGCGGTAAAGACATGCCATGGAGTGTCCAGTTCCGTCGGCAGCTTCTTGTAGCTCTGCAGTTTGGGTTCATCTTTTAAGTAGCGTTCCATCTCGTAGCATGTCTGAAACAGATTAAAACAAAAATTATTCACTAATTACTCCCACATATAAAAATAATATTTCATGTTAAATGCAACAGTTCTACGTTTGTAAAATATGAATCAGGCATTCCTTCCAACATACATTTTTACACATCCCGTACATTTTTGCTTTATCATTTACAAAATGACAAGATCTGTTCATCCTTTTTCGTTAAATATGTTAGTTTAATTTATGTATAATTATAAGAACAAGAATCAATTTTTTTCTGTAATAATTAGGAATTTTCATCATTTGGTTATTATTGATTGTTTGTGAAATGACGAATTTTGGTCTCGATCATGAATATGCATTAACAAAGTTGAGACCGGCACATTAATAATATTATATGTTATAAATATAGAGCAAACTTCATATCAAATACTGAAGATGACCGAATAAAATCAGAGAACTTTATTGGGTTGTCCAGAAAATAATTTGGTCACACGTGAGCTATCTGGTCGAGAGTTGTCATAAAATTGGCCGCTTCCGATTAACCAAAGAAGGCTTCATTATTGCCGATTTTTGATGCATATCATTTGTTTGATTACAATACGGTTCGGTATGGATAGTTTCTTTCTACAGGATTTAATAAGATGTGGTGTATCAAACCAAATGAAGCCTACCAAACAGTTACCATCATCTTTTTTTTATGAGTTGGGGGCTTCAAAAATGTTGCTTCTCCTTTGTCGAACCAATGTCCAGAACGTCTATTGTTCCAAGTATCCACTTTTCATCACAAGTAACAATTCTGGACAGGAAAGGGTCGTTTTTGTTTCGGCAAAGAAATTTAACACAAACTTCAGCAGTTTGTTTAGCAGAACATCGTCATCGAGAGAGGAAGTCCTTCCTCGACCTTCTTTGTCATCAAGGCTAAAGTCTCCCTCCCGAAAATTTTTGAACCATCGTTGAACAGTGCACTCATTAATGCTGCTCTCAGGCCCTGTTCCAGCCGAGTTTAAACTCGTAAAACAAAATTATATGAAAATCACACTTTGACATTAAAGTAAAAACTGAATTATTTCCAAGCAGCGAAATTCTACAAAGGTAAACTACCATTATCATTTAGAAGTGGATTAGTAAGTGTTGATATTAATTCAAATGAATATTCTAGTAAATGTAAACAGATTGTTATATAGAGGGATGTTTTAATACAAACTAAAAATCCTTCATTATTTTCCAGGGAACACAATAGAATGTGGTCACGTCTTAAGTAATATTTTATTAAAAGCTATAAAATTATCATTTACAACATCTGGGCCGTTAATCATTGATATAGAAAAAAAAATCCGTTCGTTATTTCTTAACACTCGTATAAAATAGAAGAAAACAAAATTGAAATTTATTTATTTGCTTTTTATAGGTTCATTGAAGAGTTATAGGTATTGAATCTGTGGCTTTTATGAGAAGCATTATTATCAGTTGGTACGTATGGAATATGGAAGGGATAATTTTCCAACACGTCTTTAAATTTATGTAATATAGATATGGAGGCAGTATTTTTCTGTTGAACAAGACTATATTTATGGGATGGTATTGAGAAAGGGGTGGCCTTGAGGAGTGGAGGGATCAATGGAGGAACAGTTCCTGTAAGACTGGTTCCCTCATTCCGGATTCAATTGGAAAACGGTTCCGGGACTCCTGCCCTTGGAGTCCTTCCCAAGGAGAGACCTTTTTATTAGGGCTTTCAGGGCCTCGAAAATTGTTTCTTGTCCCGGGGATAAACCTCAATGTTTTTACAACACATTTTCCCCACCACCCTACGTGGTCTAGGCCCAAATAGCTCTCCCCCCCCCTTCTCCTCGGAAACGAACCAGTTCTTTCTTTAAGCAGCCACGGTGAGCGACTCCTAATTTATTTAAGGGTTTTGCTGTGTAAAAGGTTTTCTAATCAAGCTTCGACAAACAAGGGACTTGAGGATGGGGATAAACAGGATGGGGCCGAGAAACAGAGATTAAATTCGTTCTATTTCGGCAGGAGGTGGGGGAGAGGGGGGCTTTTTCCGAGGGCTACGGACTTGGGGCGGATATCGAATAAATTGGACGGATTGGCCCCCCGGAAACTGCCTTTCCTAATCATATTCCCTCCTCTTACCAAGCATAGATTAAACCTGGTCATAAGTCTACCTTTAATCAAATGTAATTACAAAAGTTTTCTTTTATTACTTCATTTGCCGACGTGTATAGAATGACGGATTTAATTCTTGTATAACCGATTCCATACTGAATTACAATTAATTAAATGATTGACATTTGAAGGAATAACAAATGTACTGATTCAGAATGACCTGCTCTATTTTCGACATAAAACTGTATCACTTAATAAGAAGATGAATAATACAAGAAGATAATTGTTCGCTCAAGGAAGATGTCATTTTCAAGAAATATAAAAAGAAAATGAAGAAATTTACTATTGAAGTTGATCTTCAAATCCTCCAAGAAGACAGAAGTGACTAATAATAGCGTTATAGCTATTTATTATTATTATTATTATTATAATTTTCTTATATTTGATTTCTGTATACTTTTTTTTTTCTTTCCGAAGTAATCCTTTGAAAGGGCTGTTTATTATGTATGGTACATTTCATACAGATGTATATTATGCAGCTTAAATATAACATTTTATCAAATAACATTAACATTAACTAATTAAAAACACAATTCAATTCAAACATAATAGTCATTATAAGCATAACTAAAATAAACTTAAAAAAGAAAAAGATAGAAAAATCAATGAACGTATTTTCTTAAAATTAAAAATGTTATAAAGCATTTTCATATAATTGTACATTTTCTTTATAAATTAATATATTTTACAAAATTATGGGTAACTTTATCTGATATGCTTACCATATACTGATATGGAGCATGTGCAGATGAAGATATACACAACCTTTGTGTATTTGTTAATTTGCAACGCAGGGTTACTGTATGAGAGAAGGAAATTTAAAAACAAATTAAATGTATTGGTATTAGTTAAACACGAAGAAATAATAAGAAAGAAGTGTAGAATAAATTAAACAGGTGACTTTACACCTAGAGGATAATATTATTATAATGACCATGAAAACCATGTAAAGTATATTTATATAAAAATATAAATATATTTTTTTTATTATTTTTTTCGTAAAATAATTAAAGGTTTAAAGGAGGAACAGTTAACCAAATAATGTATAGACAGCTATTAAACGCAGAATCGCTGGAATAGTACTGTGAATATTATTGAGCTTTCTGGCGATTAAAATTGATGTGTAACATTATTTAGTTTGATGATTAGTAAAGGTTATTATGCAGTGTGTAGTGCGAGTAGCCCGAAGCGTAGATTGTTCCCACAATTGTTGGATCACGTTAAGGCGGAGTTGGGTTTCTATACATATGTCCGTTTCTAAAGGAATCCTGTTCTATGTATTTGATGCGGTGGCCTTCACAAAGGAAACAGCGCACATATAAGTTCGAAATAAAAGAAGGATCTTAGTTATTCATGATCTCATCCGCTTCCCAGTATTGCTTTTCTATCGCCTTTGGCAGGGGCAACAAGAAGAAGGCAACATTCAAAGAAAGGAGTGAGGGTTTCCATCTCACTATTGGTTATATTTGATTAAAAGCATTGCAATTCTCTCCACGGGAAACGACAGCGCACGTAGAAACAAAGACAAAGCAAAGTGTTGAGAAGTTAGCCCTGCACGTGAGCAAGGACTCGAAGCAGTCTTCCTTTGTGCCGCACCTTGCTCGGGCCTTTTGTTCATAGCCCAACTTGTCTAACCATTCTTATATTTCATTTTCTAGATAAAAGTTGGTTTTCCAAAAAAAAAAAAAATTGCTTTTTAGTAATAAGAAGAATGAAGCAAAAATATAGATATATTTTTTCTATTTAAACAATCAATTATCTTGTTTAGTAAGGCTTTTGCTAGAATTTTTTAAACCTTTATAATTATAATTCAACCGCGAAGGGGCGTTGTGCCATTCGATATCGATAGTGTTGCCCCTAATCGGTCTTGGTCTTGCACTTTGGAAGACCAAGACCAAGGCTCTCTAACTGTTGCAAGACCAAGACCAGGACTGCTGAAAAAATTCGATTTTTTAAATAATAAATAAGATAAAATAGTTACTAATACTCGACAATTATACATTAATAATTGGTATAACCAATATACTTTTGCATTTAATTACTCTAATTTTTCATTCGGGCTTAGTTAGGTTTCTCATATCTAAAAAATTACAGTAATATCTCTATAGTAATAAGCTAGTAAGTAAATATAAGACTGTTGCGAGACTCTTGCGCCACCACCTGATCAAGACTGAGTTTGCAAGACCAAGACTCGTCCCAGCCCCCTATTTGGGCAACACTAGATACAGATGATCATTGGCCTCGATTATTACAATGCAAGGAAATTAATGGACTATAATTATTAATAATAATTTTTCATTTGTAATATCCTGCCCAGAGATAATCAAAAACAGTCCATTCGGCAAAGTGGACATAGTTCTTGTCAGGTTACACTTCAATTCGAAGGACAATTTGAGACCATCGATTGTAGATAAATTATAGGGATGCTCTTCAACTGATCAGGTTTCTATAATCATCCCGCAAGGGTCCAACTTTTCCACCCCAACCACCCCAATACATCTCTCTCTTTCTTAATACCACTTAACCCCTTCTTAATCATTTCATATATTAGGTTCTCCCAAACATTTATACACAATTCCAAGTTTTAACAGACAGAAATGCAACATCAGGAACAAAGAAATAAAAATTAATATAGTGATGTAGAGATGGATGACTGTAATATAATATGAGAAGGAGAGGGTGCGGTCAAATAAATACTAGATTATTTAAAAATAGTATTTTTAATTACGCCGTCGTTTCGACCCACCTTGCGTGTCTTCATCAGGGCTACAAAAGATACAAAATATAAAAGGTACAAGGTGAAAATAAAATAAATGAATTATAGGTAGATATTAAATAAGACAACAGGTTCTTA